GCACGCGTCGCCGTCGCTGTCTCCGCCTCGGCCAGGCTTCTTGAAGAGCCACGAGGCTTCCCTGTGGCCACATGCAGTACGCACTCTCTCCTCAGATTTCTAGAACTGTCTGCATCCCTGCCCCGTCCACACTCCGTCCTTGGGTGTCTGTCTTCTCTCTCACTGAGCATTCCTGTTCTGTGTCCGCTCACCTTTCCGCCCTCTTCACTTCTGTTTGGGGGCGCTGTCACCTTGCCTTGCACCCCTTGACTCTTGGCGCTCTCCTGGGAACTCATGACCTCAGCCAGTGCCCTTGCCCTAACGACTGATCCCTGCGGAGGCCCCCGCCTGGCCCTGGGGCGGCATCAGCAGGGCGTGAGCCAGCAGGGAGCCGGGGCCAGCGTTGCTGCCCAGAGGCCCCGGGGCAGCAGGAAGCCGGCCAAGCCCCTGCCCCTCCCGCCCAGCACTCGTAATGCTTTCTCCCTCCTCAGCCCCTCGGAGCCCCTGTGGCGTCCTGCCACGGCCCGGCCTCCCTGGCTTGTCAGTCTGCCTCCTCGTGGGGAGCGGTAGCGGTGACGGAGAGCCTTCCCCGCGCGTCCGCCGCGGGGCGCTCCGCTCGCCCCGTTCCCGGAACCCTGAGCTCGCCAGCGGTGCCAGCGGTGCACGGCGGCTGCTGTACCGGCCACTCCGCGGACGAGGGGCTGACGCTTCGCAAGCTCAGCGGCGTAGCTTCAGAGGCACTGACTGACTGGTGCCGCCTCACGCCTTTGTCACAGACGGATGTGGGTGCTGTCTGCACCGTTGCAGACAGACGCTGGGCTGTCGGAGTGGGTGCTCTGCGGCCGAAACCGCGATCAGAGATCTGCAGGAACACGGCGTGCGGAGGGGCCGCCCGCAGCCAGTGTCCTGCCCTGGGGTGGCCCGCTCCCTTTGTCACAGGAGTTCGGCCGGCACTAGGCTGCTCCGTGACGCTTGCCCCGCAGAAGAGCGTTTGTGCAGCTCACTCCGAGCCCGGGCCGCGGGAGCCGGGTGTGTGGCCGCACACAGCATGCGAGTCACTTCTGGGTCACCCGGGTGCCACCCGACGGACTGGTTCCTTTCCAAAGCCGCAGTCAAATCTCGCTGCCATCTCCTTAAACCGGTTGTGCTGACCTCTGCGGCTCATGGTGGCCTGAGAACTGCAGTTACAGCTGCCCACTGGGTCACTGGAGCAATCCAGGTGGCCGGCCGCCCGAGGCAGTTAAGATGGCCTGATGCCGCCAGCCTTGTGGGCGGGTACAGATGCCTGCAGACGGGTGGCCCGCAGCTGCTGGGCTTTGTGTGGGGTCAGAGCAGGACAGGGCGGCCCGCGAGGGCTCTCGAGAGAGCGGAGCGCGTGTGGGGCGTAGGAGCGACTGTCTGAGCTGCGGAGTCACAGGTCTCACGGCGCCGAGCGTGGTCCCCAGGCAAGTGCCGGGCGCGGGCACAGCCGTCCCCTGCGCTTCCAGCACGAGGTTGGGCGCAGACGGTGCACGTCGGGGAGAATTTGCCGTCGTCCGTCCTGTTGGTTCTCGTTTCTCTGCCAAGCTGACCCCGCTCACTGGGAGCTGGGGACAGGAGCTGGGCAGGCGCAGCCGTAGGCATTGGGTGGGTGGAGAAGGGGACGCTGACACACCGAAGGGTGCTGTTGCTGGCGCTGTGGGGGACCAGAGCCGGGGTGCTGGGAGGCCAGCCAGGGGGTGCTATGGTGCAGACTGGTCGGAGCGGCATCACTGAGAGCAGTGCCCAGACATGGCGTGCTTGTCGACGGGGACCCCATGCAGACTGTCTGAGTGATGGCTCAGGACTGAGGGACATGGCGGAAAGGGCGAGTGGCACGCAGTGTCTGGGACGCTGCCGTCCGCACATGCTGCGTCCTCGGTACCGCACCGACTGCATGAGGATGGGAATCAGCACAGGAGCAGGGACGTGACGTGCTGTGTGCCCTGTGATCTCTCGGTGTTGTGAACCGCTGCTAAGGAGACGGGGGGTGTGGCTGATTGCACCCTGGCGCCTCTTCCCATGGACTTGCTCTGTCTCATTATGTTCAGACAGTGTTTGCGGCAGTGCCAAAGGCCATGGAGCCTGTCCTGGGTTCCCGCGTGACAGCTGTGCTCACCGTGCCGTTTCCCTGCAGGAGCCGAGTCCAGCTACAGCCCACGCGGTCGCCCTGATGCGCGGTGGCCGGCTGCCCAGCAGAGCCGGTGGGGCCCGGGCGGGCAGCGCGCACTCCCGTAGCTGCCCAGTCTGCCTGATTCCTGGCCTCGGCGCCCCGGGCCTTGCTCGCTCCTCTGAATTTCTTCCCTGTCGCCGTTCATTTGCACCAACACTGGCGTGTGAATGCAGGGCCTGGGGTAACTTGGCTGTGCGGTCCTTGGGTGATTGGAACCCGCTTCCTGTACGGAAGGGTCATAAACAGAAGCGAGATGTACCGACCGTGCTCATAGGATGCACGCTTCTTCCCAGGCCTGCGCGAGGCCCAGGGAGGGCTGTGCCTGCCACCCCACGGCCTGCTGGGTGTCCCTCCTGCACTTTGCCCGCGACACCTTACGAGGCCCTACGCGGCCTGGGTCAGAAAGTGAACGTGCCGCCCGCCGTGACGTCGCCGTCACAAAGGCGGAGACGCCGTGTTCTCTGACAGCTCGTGGGCAGCCGCTGGAGGGAGGGCTGCCCGTCCGACGTGTGCTCCTTCTCCCTCAGCCCGACTGCCTTCTGCGCTCCCTTGCGGTTCCCTCTTTGACCACTGACTCCTTGGCTGTGCGTCCTTTTAATTTCCACGTGTATGAATGTCCCAAATTTTTCCTGTTCCCGATTTCGAGTTCCGTTTACCGTGGAGTGGGGAAATCCTTGCTATGACTTCAGGCGTCGTGCGTTTATGGAGCCGTGTTTCATGGCCGAGCACATCGTCCTTCCGGAATGTGGTCCATGCGAACTCGAGAGGATGCACGTTTTGTCAGGTTTGGCCGCAGTGCCCTGTGGCTGTCTGTGACGTCTCGGTGATTTATGGCGTTTATGGTGACCTGGTTAAGCAAGTGTGCATCTCCCTGCGTGTTGTTGGTCTAGCTGTTCTGTCCGTCACCGAAAGTGGGCATTGCCGTCTCCCGCTGTTCTCGTCGAAACCTCTGCGGGTTGTCAGCCTTCGTTTCGCGTGTTCTGGGCTCTCTCATCAAGTTCATACGCGTCTGCAGTCGCCGTATCTGCTGGATGGAACGACCTCTTCCTCGTTATAAAACGTCTCTGTCGTTTTGTGTCTAGTGTGAATGTTCGCCGTCAGTCCCCTCTGCAGGACGCCACGGCCCGGACCCTGCGTGCCCTCTGTCTGCGTGCGGCATCTTTTCCATCCCTGGACTTCCCACCTTGTTGCACCTTGCACTCTAAAGTGTGCTTCGTGCGCAGAGTATTATACTTGGATCATCTTTTCCTTTTTTAATCCATTCTGCCAGTTTATACATTTTAATTGGGGAGTTTAACCGTTTCCAATTGACCCTTGAACAACTTGGGTGTTGGGTCGCTGACCCCTGTCCCATGCTATAGAAAATAAAGCCTTACCACATCGCAAACAGTTAATTAATACGTACTTCGTACACGATAGGTATTATATTTTGTTTTCTTA